AGACCGTTTGCCCATTAAAACTTTTCGACTCCTGAAATTATGACATGGGCTTAAAAATACTCTGTATGTTTCAATGATACCTCGTTTGAAATTATTATAAGATCATCAATAAACTGAAATTTAGACTGATAACTTTTGATGTATTCTCAATATATGTAGTTTAATTATTTAGGTACCTCTAATTTGCTTAATTTATAGAATCGTAAACGTCAAATTCTGGTCTTACAATTAGTGACTTCGTTTATAATTTCATTAGAGCTTGAAGGAGTCTCTAAGCTCCAACCAAGGGTGAATCGTAAGAATTTTTCGAGCACAGTGTATGTATTATCGACGTGGCATTAAATCTTCAAAACTGATTCCTTTGGCAAAATAAACTAAAAAGTAAGATTAACCTTTTTTCTTAAAACCATTCTAAGGAAATCTATGATTCAGGTATTGGAAAAGAATTCAGTTACTCAAAAACTTTTGAAGAAGCCAAGTTTGTGCATAATTTAGACAAAATCTACATTGTCGCGTCAAAATTAAGACGGGGCTAAGAGATTTTAAATGTCAAAAAAATTTATTTGACGTCAAAGAGAATCTTCTTTTGTAGATGTAGAACTATATTTGCAGTTTTCACTCAAATAGTAGATTTGATTTCATGTGTAAATTTAACTAATGGCATCGTGTTCAGCACTTCAAAATACTACGAAAAGGATATATTTGAACAAAATTTAGTTTTGACCCAGATTTGGCCCAATTTTCACCCAAATAGTGGATATTCTGGGAAATATCGAGGTCATTTTACTAATGGTATCGTGTTCAGCGCCTCAAAATACTACGAAAATGATATATTTGGACAAAATTTAAGAATAAATTAGTTTTGATCCATATTCGAGAGTTTTCACCAAATAATTTCACTTTTCTCCGAATTTCGTCGGCAAATCATGAATTTTGACTACTGGATCGTGTTCAGCGCATCTAATTCCTTCGGAAATGTGGGATTCTTGGGTTTGGACATTTTTTATATGCCNTAAATTAGTTTTGATCCATATTCGAGAGTTTTCACCAAATAATTTCACTTTTCTCCGAATTTCGTCGGCAAATCATGAATTTTGACTACTGGATCGTGTTCAGCGCATCTAATTCCTTCGGAAATGTGGGATTCTTGGGTTTGGACATTTTTTATATGCCTGTGTTATCTAACCAAATATTTAATCAAATAACGTTTTTTTTACGACGAAACTCCTTCGACCTCTTAATTCCAACGCCACTTTTTACGCATTTTACATGTAAATGGCTACTGCCAGGGAATTAGACTGTAGAGTAGTTTCAAAATCTCATGATCCGCGAAAGGCGTGGCGTATCCACATAATTCTTCTAATAAGCACGTTGTGAAAACATTGACTCAGAATTAGACCACGTTCCTCATTACAACCAGAACTGAACTAATCGGAGCAAAGGCTTGTTTACCCTACGAGAGCTGGAGATAGACTGTGAATAATGGATGTAATGTTTTTAGGACGTAGAATAATTTAGGCGACGGTCGGAATTATGTTTCTGCGCATAGCAAGGTCAAAGCTCATAAGGTTTTGAAACAACTCTACTAAATTGGAAGTCTACGAGTAGGATATCTTCAACGGATACCGAAAAGCTTTTTGCTCAACGTTTGAATATTCTTTTTTAAGAAAAAATGAGTGCACCGTTTTTGAACAAATGACAATATTAAGATGAAAATTTATGTGCACAATACATATATAAAATAACATTCAACATGACAAAATTATGTCCCAAATCAAACAAATTCCGTAGTACACTCGTTATATTTCCCTTGAAAATTAATACACCGCATTTTAATTTAAGCCAAAGTGATCTCTTTTTTTCGTAGAATGTACCATTTTGGAACAAATTAGTACTATATATAAATTAAACGTTCAGATAAATTTTAAATTATGCAACATGTTAGAAAACAGGGTAGTAAAAAATAAACAATATTTAATTCAAACAATTGCTCTTGAAGTCCTCGTTTTTGAGAAACTATTGGTCAATTCATCAGAATACAGGAACTTATAAGAAAGCCAGCGGATAAACGAGAAAAGAGTACCTATTGAGGTTCAGGGACTTCATTTTGATCATATTTTGTGAAACCATATTTAAATAAATTCTGCGTCTATTTAAATCATGTTACATTGTCTTTATAAATTGCTAAATTTTACCAAAACTGTATGCTATGCTAAAAGATCAAATGATTATATTTTTGTTCTGGAACAAAACTCTCTTTGAATTCATTTTATTTCACTCTCAAAAATAAAGTATATCTAACGCATTTATCAAGTTTTATAAACTTTAACACGAAAATGTTCATCATGGGTTGCGGTTTAAAAATAAACATAAAAGACATTTTGGGGTTTTGACTCAATTTTCTTGTCTAGAAAGATGTACTTAGTTGTATCATTCTAAAATAGTTCATTTAAGTATTTACATTTTAGTATTGCAGATAAAAAATATTTTCTTATCAAATAACCTAACACCAAAATTGCTAATAACATATTTCTTAAAATGCAATGCGGCAGCATAAATTGCACAAGCACTAGAACAAACTTTTAAGTGTATGTATAATGTTCTCAGGAGGAGAAAAAAATACTTAGGTTTTAAAATCAAGAAACTTGTAGCTCTTGAAATTGAAACATATAAATAAGATTAAATAGTCAAGACATTTTTGTATTTAATTTATATGGAAAATTTAATCAACTTTAATGACACACATAGATATAACGGAAATGTTTTTATTACAGTTTCCATAGCAAATTTTCTTTCAAAAGAAATAAATTATATAAGCTTTATTCGCAAAATTTTTAATTCGAAACGGTTTCCACCTTTCTATTTCAACAACTAGTTTTACAATTTTAAATGGTCCAAGACGAACAAAATTTATTAAAGCACTGGAATCTTACTTGGAGACAGAAATATTAAATTTTTCTGTGTCACACTTTAAACGCACTAGCTATAGACTGTGTAACAGCGACAAACCCACATACCATCCGAGTTCATCAAAACAAACAAAAAGTAAAAATATAAATTTTTGCCAAAGCGATTCCTAAGCTCTCTACGAAGATTGAACGTACATTTAAACATTTCTTTATCAATTACTCAAAACTCATTGAAGACATGGGTTTCAAACTTGGTACCGTCGTTTCTTCACGGCAGTTATCTACATGGATATTTGATTAAGAATTAGTAGTCTTGGAATTAGAAGGTTCCAATCTTTTGAATCTCTGAAACTTTTCATATAATATACCGTTATAGTCCAAAAATAATAATGTTAGGCATATTTTAGGCAACTAGGTGAAAATCGGAATAACTTAAAGGTTTGTGCAAATTTACAATTATTTTTATGAAATGTAATCAGAAGAATAAATTCAACCTCTCCATACAGACTGTAAATAAATAAGTGCGAAAAAATTCATGGGTGATTTCTGTTGAAAAATAAGATGGGTCTCTCATCCCCTGTGAAGATTCAAACTTTTAAAGAGGGTACCAAAAAAGTACCTAGTTTTTAATTTTTTTTCTGAAATGCCAAAAAAGTGACAGAAATGCAATTAAGTAAACATTTTCTGCTATCGAGAAGGCACTCAATAAACAATTCGTAGACTCTCCCTTACGGTTGTAAGGGGAAAAGCCACCCCTAAAATTTTTCCATGTGTAACTTTTTTGTTAATATCTTACCATTTAAAAATTCATTTCATATAGCCTGATTCATTCTAAACAAAAAAGGTCTCTTGTAATTTTTTCACAAAATTAACGATTTCTGAGCAAAAAAATTATTTAAAATTATTTACTTGGTATGATGGTAGAAATTTTATCGAACTGGAATTTATCTAGCACGCGTCTATCACGCTGGCATTTTGTAATGGCAACTTAATTGTTATAATTAATGCAATAATTATTTCATTAAATATGAGAGGAAACAAACATTCAACATTTAATATATTTTCTATTAGTATTTAATAATTTATAATATTTAGCTTTTCACATATTTAATAAAATTAATGAACTAGTTATAACAATTAAGTTGCCATTATAAAATGTCAGTCGCCTACTAGATAAATTACCGTTTGATAAAATTTCTACCCTATGCCAATCATGTCCTGTAATTGATTTTAAATAAATTTTTTGCTTAGAAATCGTTAATTTTACAAAAAAAAATTACAAGAGACCATTTTTTTAGTATTTTAGAAAAAAATTAAAAGCTACATTTTTGCAGGTTTCAGTAACACTTGTCAAAAGAGAACATCCGAAGTGATTGAACCAACTCGGGAATTGTTCATAGTTGACTTTTGTTTATGCTCCGTTACTGACGAACGCTTAACATCTTCACTGTTTCCGGACATTTACTCGTAAATCGTGCATTCCTCGAAAAAATTCATGAGGCACAAAGGTTTTAATTAGAAATGATGGAAGAAAAGAGTTCTTTAAAATTAAATACATTTCTTTGAAAATTGGAACCTCTCCTAATTCCTACACCACTGATTAGTATTTGTTCAAATTTTACAATGAAGAAACTGCAATGTACTAAATTGAGAGCCTACATATTTATCGAGTCTTGAATAACTGAACCAATACTTCCAATCTGAAGGATTATAGAAATCTTAAAATGTGACTCTTCTTTTTGCTTGTTTTGAAAGTTCTGAAAGTTTGTTGCAACGTTATTGTTACACCTTGTATATTATTAGAATAACAAATATCTAAGTTAATGTTGTTTTAAAGTTATAAGCGAGATATTATATTACTTTTGTCTTGAAGCAGAATAATTTTGAGTATACAATGATCTATTTTTGTTTAAAAAAAAATAGACTAGAACTAGAAAGTTTACGTAGCTGGAAAGAAAAGCATTTAAGCTTTTTTTTCTTAATTTGTTAATTATTTTATTTTTAAGTACGTTTCCCATTTCTTGTTTTTCGCCTCATAAGATAACTTTTATGCAATACTACATGTTATGACACTGTATACAAACTACTTACCTTTCCTAAACCCGGTAGAACTCTAACTTGACGAGAGGGCACGCTCTGCAGGGGCCATGGAAAAAAGGAAGGAAAATTAGAAAAATGGAAAAGTTAGTGATCTAGAAGTTTTTTTTTTTTGAAAAAATATTACAGTTCATTGTAGAACAAATAAAACAAACATAATGTGCAAGACAAAAATAAAAACATTTATTTGTGTTTGATACATGTCAAAATACTTTTAAAAAATCTAAATATACACATTGTTAGTAGAAGGGAGTAGGGGTGAGGGTGTTGGATAATAAGAAAATTTTTCATGTAGGAAAAGCTACTTTCAAAAAATTGAAATACTAATATTGTTGAAAAACGTATATTACAATAAAAATCACAAAATGTAAGTGTAAATGTGTGGTCCGAATTATAAAATTTAAATATTTATACAAAACATATCTATAAAATAAAAACTATGCTTATGTTACGTAGTTGTGTCAGTATAGGTACTATTTTAACAAAAATAAAACATTTTCTAATAAACTAGCATGAAACATTTTACTTTAAATCTAAAGAAAATCTTCAGTATCAGTCAAATGTACCTTGAAAATACATATAATAAATTTTTACGGTATCACAATCACTAAATTTTTTCAATAATAAAACGAACAAATGCTTTCCAATAAAATATCCTCATCCTTCAATGAACAAATAAATTCATTAACTGACAACACAACGCCTCACTCGTTCCATTTACAACCCAAAGAAAGCATTAGCTCAGCCACCCGACATTTGAGAGATACTGTTCGAAAATCCAGTTGCCTATGACCGAAGCAGTTCGATTATGTAAGTTGCAAACCGCAGCGTTATAACATGCATGTTAGATTTAGACGCGGTAAGAGTAGTGGCGGTAACTGGTGCCTCCAGGCAACCTTCCAGAGGTTGTGGAGCTGTAGCTAGAGCTGTAACCTCCGGGTCCATCTCCCCTGGTCCTGGTGGAACGCTCTGTGCTGTAGCTGTATCCACTTGGACCTCCAGTAGAAGAGCGAGTCACCGATTCGCTGCTGGAGGAATAAGAGCGGTTGGGAGAGGAGTACGGGTCACTGTAGCGGTTAGAAGAAGAATCCACGACGTTGTTGTAGGAGTAGGAATATACTTGTTCAGCAGCGCGTTGGGTTGGAGAATCAGTCACGACGTAATGTCTCGGAGTCTGAGGACAAGAGAGGATGAGTTACAGCGTATAGGAATAAGAAAGTGTTAGGGTTGATAATAATCAATTAATTATAAAGAAGGAAATTTCCGCAAAGGTTTCTGATGTTCACGTTTATGCTATGACCGCCATGTTGGAAAAATTAGTGATCAAATAGGGATATACATATTTAAAAGTGACATAATATCCTAACTGCCTCAAAATCATATAAGAACGACTCGGAAAAGGTATACATGCCACTTTGAATGCAATTAGGTAACGGAAAACAATTTCACTTGTTTACCCCTTGAAGAAAAGCAATAGGACAGTACCCTATGATCTTAATCAGTTTTGTCAGAAGTCTGAAGAAATTTTAGAACCACTTAATAAGTATTAATTACAAATAATGTATTCAAAGTACACCGCAAAAAATGAACACATAATTTTGCAAATTTTTTGAAAATTTTCATCATTAACATAAGACGTTTCTTAACATCCACTACAAATAAAATAACAATCAGGGAGTTATTAGTATTCAAGTTATTGCCACATCAAACGGTGAGGAAAATTGAAAAATTTTCACTACAATTTTCATATTATTTTTGGCGATTTCACCGATTAAGTAAATTAAATTCAATTCATTTAATAAGTAACAAAATTACAACTTTTAGGTTAAAAATTATCTACTGTATTTTTTTTTACTTCGTATACATTGATTTACAATAAATAAAGTTAATACAATTTTATTGTGCGGTACCGTTTGTCGAAACATTAAAAATGAGAGATAAGGTAGTACAGTATGATCTCAATTCAGTTTGTAAGTTACAACTTTGAAAAACTCACTTCAATGTTCATATCTTAAGTCTGAATATATTTTGAAACCACTAATTTAGTATTACTTTGATGTGAGGTATGTTCTAAATACCACTTAATAAAGATAGACAAGGGATCACAAATTTACTAGGTGTATGAATACTGATGCAGATATAGTAATAATTGTCATATGACCTTAATTGAGTTTTCACGAAGAAGCTTTAAAATCACATATTTAGTATTACTTTGAAAATATGATATGACCTCAATTCATTTTTCAAGTCATATAATTGTTTTAAGCGAAGAGAGGATTTAGAACTACTTACTTATTATTAGTAGTATTGGGATGATACCAGAGTATATACGAGTACGAATAAAATTTTGAAATTTGAATTTAAAGAAGATGGTAATGGACAACAACCTAAATTCATTAAAGGTTAAAAAGTACGGGTAGGAAAAATCATAAATCCTTGCGAAATGTATCCTTAAGTGTTTTAAATATAAGAAAATAAAAGTGAGATTTTAAAGGCAACACGAGAATATTGCCTGCAAAACAACTTTGGAACACTTCCGGTCCATTAAAAAATATTTTCAATGATTTCAACAGAATATATTTAGAATTGAAAATTGGGTACGTAAATTATATAGGAAAAACAAACACCTCAAATTTCGAACTTGATATACAACTTCCAAAATGGCGGCGATAACGTGAGAAAGTTATTTTGATATCGAAGCGTATAAGGTCGGAACTCTACTAATTAATTGTTTGTTGAACCCCAAGAGACTATTCCTTGCACGCTATATTTAGATTATTTACCACGCTAGTGAATAATGCTTTTAAGACAGTGGGAAATATAAAAAACTACTTTACTTAGTTAGGTACTGTTACTGGAAAAATGGTGCTGTATACACCAGATCAATAAAATAATAGGTGACACTCAACACCGCTCTCAAAATAGACTTTGTGTTTGGTTCGAGAACGCATAGCACTTTCATAACATTAAAAATAAAACATAATCCAGCCCAACTGCTAATCCTTTTGCCAAATATTTCTGTAAATTTAGACCAAAACGTTGGTGCTTATTTATATTATCTCAGTTATTGGACAATTTCGCCAGGCTCTTATATGATTTGAAAAACAGAAATCAATATTTATAGTTGTTTTAGAAACAAATTATTTTTATCGCAAAACTTCAATAGCGTGATAAACAATGGAAAATTTTCAGTAATTATAAATAGTTTTCATACATACATTTACAAAAAGCAGCTGCTTCTGACAATCAGTCTACTCGTCAGCGTGCACTTGTTAGCAAAATGTTATTTTGGATCTACTATTTTGGAAATCAAAGTAAATGATTCTGTGCCAGTATTTAGTATGATTTATTAATAATAAAGATTAAATTGTTTTGATCTATCTATCCTAAATTGTATTCCATCACATTTATCCTTTAGTTTATACATCACTAATAAATAGTTCTGTCGAATTAGATCATAAACCCTTAAAACTTAAAAAATTATTATTAGACAGTTTATTGTACTTTATGGTCCATTAAAGTCTAGACGACCTATCTGAAAATTAGTTATTTTATGTTTTAGGCAATTAAATTACCTACAATTTAAGGTACCTAAAGACACATTTCACAAATTTGTTGTAAAATAAAGGTCGAAGGCGGAAAAATCAGTTTTCTAAAATTACGCATTATTATTATCTCGAAAAGGCGTGGATGTTGATAAAATTTATGTAAAAGACAGTCCACCCAATGGCCAACATGTTTGCCAAAGGCCTATTCGATTGACCGTGAAATTGTTGCTCCAGGTATTTAATTAATTTCGTTAATTTTTTTTCAACTAATTATTTAATAATTAAACGTTAATTTTAGAAGTCAATATCTTAGCTATAGGTTCTAATTGATTCAAAGAAACGTTTCGAAAAAGAAACATTTCAAAAAGCTGAAATTAAGTTGCTTTTTACAAGTAACAAAGTAGGATGTGCAAAACAACGTTATAAATAAATGTATTTCCCAGCAAAAGCCGCTCGGGAATCCACTCTTTTTGCATCAAATAAAGCTTATTTTTATGGTAAATTAAAAAACAAAGAAATTAATTAATAAGTACCTGCAGTAACATCGTCACGTTCAATCGAATCGGCCTTTGGCACACATGTTGGCAGTCTTTTCCATAAATTTCATCAACATCCATCGCTTTTTGCAATAATAATGTGTAATTTTTGAAAACTGATTTTTCCGCATTCAATTCTTATTTTACAGTTAACAAATTGTAAGATATGACTTTTGGTACCTTAAATTGTGGGCAAATAATTTTCCTATAGACCGTCTAGATTTTCATGGACAGTAGAAAAGTGAAAATACACGTAATTTTGCCATTTATTTGCAATTGGCTAATTTAGGGTCACTTCTTTCGAGTCTACTAATAATTTTTTTACGTTCAAACTCTAATTGGATTGGACTATAATCTGTATGATCTCTTTAAATTTATACATAACAAATTATTTTCTTAAACTCAGGAGAGCCATTTAAAGTATTTTTGTTATATTTTAGTAAATTACTGAGTTCTGTATTTCTTTCTAATTAATTTGTGTACCTTTGTTCAAAAGCATTTACTTTGATTTGTAACCTCACAATAACTATTTGAAGACGCCTTAAAAATGATATTGGATCTATTCACGATCAACTGCATTACCAACAAAATAATCTCTTTTTTTAAAAAATGATCCTGAACGATCTTTTTAAATCTCTAGCAAGGATCGTGAATAGAGTACACCTATATTTTAAAGTCTTACCTGTTCTGCAAGAAAAAAACAGCAAAGGGCTGACCTACCGCCCTAACCTAGCCTAGACTTATTTCTATGAAAGGATATGGGGTAATGAGGTAATGTTAATCCATGTATAAGTTTGTATGTGTACATTTTTGATCATGCAACTTGACCTGATATGTAACAAACACAAATTCAAAACTGAAAGAAAACTGTGGCGGTTCTTACAAAATATTTATTGTGAAGAAAAATGATGTGTATAAATTAACAAAAATATGCGCTATGACCTATCAATAAAAA